TCTGGGGTATTGTATCAATGCTGCCTCGAATGCAGCAAATGTTCTGTGGATAATATCTTCTCTCAGAGCTACATCAAATGGAAACAGAGCCACACATTTGTTCGGCGTCTTAGGCCACAGGACCCTGTGTGTTTAACTTAGAGCTCTCAAGCTGTAACGGAACGCCCTTAATGGATCATTTGGCATATGTGATGATGCTTACATGAAACAAACTTCTAAAAAAATTAAACTAAACCTTTTAGAACTTCCCATGAGGGAGCATGATGGCATTGCAAGGCAATATAACTTGTGACATCAGAAGCCTTTTGTTAGTCTCTGTAGAAAGTATTCTATTTTTTTTTCATTTTCCTGACTTCATTTTCTTCTTTTTAGTCAAAAGAAAATTTATTATTTCATTAAATGGAACATTTAGGAGGTGTTTATTATTTTTTTTCTTCAGAAATTGCAGAGAAAGGTAATAGACTCTCATGACTTCCATCCCGAGTTATGTTTTATTGCACTTTCTCATTCATTATTTTTATAGGTAAATTTATATTGAAGTGGGGGTGATAGTTTCATGAGTAAAGCTTATACGGAAACATTATCATTAATTTGTGTTTCAAAGAAATGCATAATGTCTAAATTGCAAATATTTAAAAGCGATTTAAAAAAATTATTTATTATTTTTATTTTATGTGTATGTGTGTGTTGCCTGCATGTAGGTGAGTGCACCTGTGTCATGCAATGCCTGCAGAAGACAGAAGAGGCTGTTGGATCCCCTGGAACTGGAGTTGTGGACAGTTGTTAGCTGCCATGTGGGTGCTGGGATTTGAATCCAGGTCTTCTGCAAGAACAATCAGTGTTCTTAACCGCTGAGCCATCTCTCCAGCCCCTAAAAGAGATTTTTAATAAAGTGAGCTGTAGTAGTTAATTTCTAATAAACTGATTCTGACATATTGATTAGGACGACTGAATTTAAGAGTCAGCATTTTGTGTGGTACACGTGTACCTATGTATTTGTTTCATTGATGGAACTGATAGAATTCTCCTTGCTTTTTTGGGGGGGTCATTAGTTTGTAATATAAACCCCTCAAATGTAATATAATAAAGTCCCTCAAATTGTCCAGCATGAACTTGCCTTTCTAGTTGTATGAATGCAGTTGGATGACCCTTGGGTCACATAGGTTTAAACTGGAGACAAAATACAACCCTGTGTGTTCCTATAAAAATTTTAATGATCTATTTAGGTGGTTGCAGCTTCAATTAAAAGGAATATTGCAGTTCATTATTCATTTCATCATATATATATCAATTTATTTTATATTCAGTCTGGATGCATAACTCAGTAATTATGACACAGTTACCCGAAGATATCTGGGCTATGTGAGTTAAAAATGGTCTTTATAACCTTGTATTTCTTTCTGAAGAACCTATAAAAACGAAAGATTGCTTTTTTAGAGAGGCAAAGGATAATCAGAGAGCCCTGAAGGGGGAGAAATCTCTTCTCTTGGCTTTGCTCTGAACACATCCATCTGCTGCTTTCATTCTGAATTGTCTGCTAAAGCAAACAAACATACTCACACTTAATTTCTTTAGGGGAGCCCAACACCTTTAGGATGAACCCCATAACTTCTTACACAGCATTTAGCTCAGTTGGTACTGGAGACAAGACTAGATATCCTCCTTGTAACAACTTCCTGGAGTAAGATCTGCAGCCAGAGACCTCAGCTATTTTTTGTGTGTCCTTCTATTAAAAGGAATGGCTCCTTTAAGTCTGGAGCTAAGAGCAGGTGTTCCTGGTAAAGACATGATGCTTAATTGCCTCAACTACTATTTTGTTTACTAAGAGTTAAGCAATGCTTACCCTTTGCCAGATGCATGCAAAACCCCTTTACAAATAATTAACTCCTTTAATCCTTATAATGACTCTAAGGTACATACTATGACTCTTCCTATTTCGAGGATAAGTGTACCACATGCCTAAGGTCACAGAGTCAGAGTGGAGTGTCAGGATGTGGGCACAGTCAGTTCCCAAGTCCATGCCCTTGGCCACAGCACCTGCTTCCATTACACCTGTCGTTTGGGACTCCCTTTTGTGAATCACACTGCTCATGTGCCCTGGCTGGTATTTCTGGGCCAGTTCTAGAGCATGTGTCTTAGAAATTTCAGCTTCTTCAGGAGGAATCACAGAAATCTAACTTCTATCAGCAGCCCCGCACCTTCTCATAGCCATAGCGGATATCCAGATGGGTGGTGCCACATCTCCCAGCCTCAGCACGTCTACTCGCACCTGGTATTAGTGACTTTTCTTGTCACCATGAAAGAATACCCTAGAAAAGAAACTTCCTGAGGAACGATTTGTTTTGGCCCATGCTTTAGGCCACCATGGAGATGAGGTCATGGCAGTTGCAGTGGACTCAGTGGGTGCTTGTGTCTGGTCACATTGCAGTGGTAGATGGGGAAACTGAGCTCAGAGAGGAAGCAGGTCTTAGACAGGAAGCTGACCTAGCTATAACTCTCCAAGGCCCTTTCCTAGTGCCCTACATCCTTCAGCTAAGCTCCATGTCCAAAAGGTTCCACAACTTGCCCAGAGACACCAGCTAGGGACCAATTGTTCAAACTCAAGTCAGTTCAGTCTGAAAGCATAACACTCCTTATTATGGGACATTTTCTCCTCATCCACAAGACCTTCTTTGAATCACTTTTCAGGATGTAGCTTGAATGTCACCCTTTCTGCCCATTACCTTCTGGCCTGCTCCTGCACAGTGCTTCATAGCCACACTCTCCCTCCAGTCAACTTCTCAGTTGACCCTGGCCCTCTTGTGTCAGCTTTTGGTCTGATCTGAATTTTCTTGGACTGAGTATAGGTTTGGAGTTGGGTTCCATATGCCCTAGAGCCTGATGAGTCTTGTGATAAGTGTGGGGCACAGGTGTCACTTGCTTCCCTAGTGAGACCTTATGGATTTTTTAAAAAACTGACCACTTTCAAGAATAGCTTGCTGATGGTATACTTGAGATCCTGCCTCTTAGGTGGATGGACTATCTGGTGAAGTAGCTCTTGGAGCTATAATAAATTATCTTGAACTAAAACCTTCGAAATACAGATATATCAATAGAGTACACTTTTTTTTTTTTTTTTGGTCTTTTTGAGACAGAGTCTCCCTGTAGCCCAAGCTGTCCTGGAACTCACTAGGTAGACCAGGCTGGCCTTGAACTCACAGAGATCTGCCTGCCGCTGCTTCCCGAGTGCTGGGATTAAAGGCATGTTCCACCACACTGGGCTCCAGATATATCGGTAGAATGACATAACCATGCTTAAATTTGGAAGTCATTCAACTTATGGGACTCTGGCCAAAATGCTAAAAATAAAAGCAAAACCAACACCCCAAACATGGTGTTGCTGGAATGTTAACTTCATGCTGACTAGGTCTATCATATCTTCCTTAGCGCATAGCGTTAGTGTTTTCATATGGGCTGGAAATACTAAATAGTTCACAGCTTCCTTAGCAATTTGTTTCTTGTTACGACCTCTCCAGTAATCTGTAATAGTTTTGGCAAAGTGGAATAACAATGTATTTCTATAACCATAAAATTCTGCAATACAATTTAGTCAGCCTGGATTTGATATTGGAAAAATAGATATATTAATTTCACATGCAAACTGAGGATAGGAAAATGTCAAAGTATCCGTTTATAAGCCAAATGTGCATGATAAAGTAGGTTTTAATGTTTTAAATTTTTTTAGTTGGTATACTTAACGCACACCTCAGGTGCCTTATTCCTGCATCTTTAATATACTATAGTCACTTTTTACCTCATGGGGAAGTAAAACAGTTGCAAGGAAAGAAAAGGAAATAAATATTTTGGGTCAAATAAGTTCCCAATGTGGGAAATCTTGCTCTAAGTGGAACCGGCACTCTAAATTCTTCATCTACATCAAAGGCAACTTAGGTCAAGCTAAAGTAAATGGTGCTCAGAGATGGGGAGAAACTTGGATGTCAACATAAAAAAGTCCTTCTCGGGTATATGCCCATGTGATATTTATTTATGTTGTCTCTAAGGATGGTTTCAGAAGCAATAAAAATAATACAAAGTTTCTCTTTTTCCTCAAGCAGTGTGTGGGGATATAGTTTGAAAAAAATGAAGAGAATAAATAAATGATCAACTGTGAAGACTTTAAAGAATATTTGGAAATTGTCTCTCAAAGAGCGTTTCCTTGACTGAAGAGATTCAGGATTTATTCTTTACCACTTGCTAAGTGTTATTACTTTATACACATATACTTTCGGTTATTTTAAGGGTTTACTTGTGGATTCTGGTGGGTTTTGATGGGCAACATTTTTAAAGTAATTTGAAAAGTGGGATAAACATATTGTTGTAAAATGCAGTTACTAAGGCTAGTTGGGTCTTAACTTTTGGTGTGTGTGGTACCATGACTTGAACTCAAGGTCTTGCACATGCTAGGTAAACGTTCTACCACCAAGCTGACATCCCTCACTCTGCAGGGCAGTTGCTAACTTTTATTTTGCATCATTTTCCCATTGAATCCAACATGAACTTCCTTTGTCATGAGACAAAATGAAGCGCAAAGGCACTTAAACACCATACACTTCCTCCCAAGAAGGAAGAAACCCCTCACTGACAGCTGGAACCAGCACAAAGAGCTTCCTGCCTTGTATTTCATTTACCGAAGTTCTTGAAAATGAAATTTGCTTAAGAGCCTTTGTAAATATTCTTCTTCTCCACAATAAAGGTTTCTGTACAAATTCATAAATTGCTATGGAAGAGGGGTTTAAATCTATTTGCTGGCACTTGTAAATTAGAAGTTTTGCACATATTATAAGTGCAGCCATGCATGAAACCACCGATCTCAACCTGAATTTATTCTACTCATTTATGACCTGGAAGGCTTTTTGCCCCCCAGTTCAATTAATTAAGCAAACAGGACCAGTGTTGGTACTTTTGACAGATCACAAGAATGAAGACCCTTGTGCTGGGGCTTCCGTAGGTCTTGTAAGTAGTCATAAATCCTGCATGGCAGATCTTTTGATTCTCCCTCCAAGCTTCACCCTATTGTATTTGGTACTCTGCACCACAGGGGGCTTGCCATTTGCAAATTTCTCTATTGCTGCTCTCATTTCCTCTTCAGCAATAGAGCTAATTACCTTCTTCTTATCCAGATGATCCAGCTCTGGCATTTTAATTTTATCTGGAATTTTCATAATTTCTGTTATCAGCTGCTAACTCTGATGCAAATATCAGTTTTGAGAACACACACAAAAATACATACAGACTTTGGCTGGGCATGGTGATTCAAGGCTATAATTTCAGCATTCAGGAGACTGAGGCAGGAGGATTGCTGCAAGGTCAGGGCCCTCCTGGGTTACCTTGTGAGTATAGGCCAACCAGAGCTATATCGCAACACCCTGTCTCAAAAACTGGGTTGGGGGTACTTTGGTACTTTTTACATCATTGCTATTTAATAGGTGCACAGAGAACCTTCTGAAATGAAAGTGTGGTCTTTTAAAAAATTATCTATTATTTTTATTTTTTATTAGTTTTATGTGTATGAGTATATTGTCTACATGTATGTGAGTGCACCCCTGTCCTGAAATGCCTGTAAGGTCAGAAAAGAGCATTGGATTCCCCTGGAACTGTAGTTATAGAACATTGTTAGCAGCAATGTGAGTGCTGAGAATCGAACCCAGGTCCTCTGCAAGAGCAGCCAGTGCTCTTAACCACTGAGCCATCTCTCCAGTCTCTTAAATGTGGTTTTTCTAATGTTGATTCCTGCGAATATTTTAGCTACTCTTTATTTAATCTTTATATTTTGGTCTTTTTGAGACAGGGGTCTCCCTGTAGCTACAGCAAGCCCGGAACTCACAATGTAGACCAGGTTGGCTTCAATCTCACAGAGATCTGCCTGCTTTTGCCTCCCATGCTGGGATTAAAGACACAAGCCACCAAGCCTGGCTGAATTACTCTTTATATTGGCATGCCTATTTACAGAATTTAATGGAGAAAATCATGGTATAGAGTCAGAACACAGAAACATGGGATGTTTGGCATTTTTCTAGATGACAGATGACTGTGGTTAGGTAGATGGTGACTACAGAGATGGAGGCAAAGCAGAAACCTGTGGGGACCCTGGGAAGTGTGCACAGCAAGGGGACTCATTGGAAGTTTCCTTGTTTTTAGTGTAACTGAGCTGCTTCTTACACATACTGAAAAAGGTAGGATCAGTTCTGAAGAAATACCAAGGCATGAAGGAGCATTTATTCCTCCAATATTAAAGTCTGAATGAAAGAAATAGTTTTTAAATCTTTGAATATTAGAATCAGGGCATATAATAGTAACAGCACTAACCTTTGAGATTTACTATATTTCAGACTGGGGAGATGGCTTAGTCAGTAAAGTGCATACATGTTAAGGCCTATGGAGTCAAGTTTGTATCCCCAGATGTTTGTGTGAACATTTTAAATGTACTGTGTGATTTATTTGAGGAGGTTTATTTTATGATTTTATATCTTTTATAATTTGGTACTTGAGTGATTTATTTCTTGTGCTTTTGGATCTGTGTCTTGATGGTCTATCTGCCTACTTTGGAAAAGCATTTAATAGGCGCCAAGGGCTTTGAAGTGACTACATGTGCCAGTCAGTTGCATGGATACCAGCTTGCATTTGAGAACTGGGCAGGGGTACTCTGTGTCACCTCTGGAACCTGTAAGTTGGATCAGTCAGCAAGAAAGCAATGGGCTATGGTGGTTATTGGGAAAAGCAAACCCTTTGCCTCTTTGTGGCTCTATCTGCTTTATTCTTGAGTTAACAGGATATATCAGCAACACAAGGAAATATATTTTACTTAGAAGAAGAGAAACAACCCCTGGTTGGGTTGTCTTCTGCCCATCCTGCATGTGGCTACTGTACAAGTGCAAAATGCTTTCTAATTCTGCTATTTTCTGCTGCAGTCTGTTTTGGTTGATCCGTAGTTGAGGCTCTGATGAAGTCAGAGGTGTTGGTACATGTGGGGGCAAGGAATCCTCAGGGGCTTGACTTGGAAGATCATAGTGAGTTACAGAATAAATGCATCCAAATACATTAAATGGGCACCTACCACGAGAAAGACATTGCCGTAGGTACAGAGGACAGTGTAGGTGGTGCGTGGTCTTCATCACAGAGACTCTTCTCATAGAAGTCAGAACCATCAATAGTTGGACCACTTCTGCCTGAGGGAGTCAGAGAAGGCTTTGAAATAGATACCTTCTGAGATGAGGGTATAGAGCGAGGGGCTCCTCATGTGAGGGAATAGGGATTGCATAAACTTCCCTGTTCAAACTTCATGCAAAACCATGTCATGACTATATAGGATCTGTCTGTGGAGGTGAACTTGTGTGACTGCAGAATAAGAGTGTTGTGGGTGGGAGAAGGAGAGTCCAAATGTGGCTTGGAGTTAGAGATTGACTTTTAGTGCAAGCAGGTATATGTTCTATCTAGGACTGAGGAGGTTTTAAGCATGGCCAGATGCCTATGTGGTGACTGGTGACCTCAGATTGTGAATTGAAACTGAAGAGTGATCAGCAGTGGGGACATTATAAAAGCATGTGAATGGGGATGGTAAAGACCTGACCCAAGATAGAGGTACCGAGGCTAGATACAGGATTTGAGGTCAAATGCTGAGTTACAAGCAACTGGACTTAGGAAGTTGGACAAAAAGAAGGAGCTGATCTAAGGTCTTGAACATGTGTATCAGGGAGACAGTTGTATCATGAACAAAAAGGTTCGGACAGAGGGCAGTTTGGAACAGTGGAATGACACACCTTCAAATTGTAGAGCCGTACTCCTGCTCCTCTCCAGGATTGAGCCCGCCCTGCACGGCTGCTGTGCCAGCCTCAGAAGCATGTGCAGTGGAAGGAAGGGTGTGTTTTAATAAGGCATAATATTTTCCTTCAATTGAAACACAGCTTTTAGATTATAGAAAGTTGTGACGATAGCACAGAGACTTACCACATCCTGTGCACCCAATTTCTTTTTTATTAGTGTCTTAAATTAGAACGGCACATTTGTTAATGGTTAACATATTGAATTAATACTGAGCCATCACTTTAGAAAGAATCCCTAGTTTATTCATGTTCCTAGTCTTCACCTGATTCCCTTTTCCTGTTCTGTGATCTTAGCCAGCACCTCTCTTGCCTTTAGTTGTCATGGGTTCTTGGCTTTGTCCTGGTTGTGACAGTTTCTCAGTTTCCTTCTTGATAACGTTGATGGTTTTGAGCAAAGGTCAGAGACTCATCCCTCCACTGGGATCTGATATTTCTCTCATTAGACTAGGGTTACAAGTTTTATGAAGAAGATAGCAGAGATGAAATGTGATTCTCAACACATATATCAAGGGAAATTTTGTTAATGTGACATAGCTATTGTTTGCTGTGATCACTGACAGAGGTATGAATGTCTTTCAGGTTTGTCTACTGAAAAGTGATTGTCTTAGTTTCATTTCTTTTTGCTGTGATAAAATACTCCAAAAAAAGCAACTTAGGGGAGAAAGGGGGGAAAAGACACTCTCTGATCCAAATCACATATGGATTCTCCTTTCCACAACTCAATTCAGGTTACAGTCTGTCATAGTAGGGAAGTAACAGCCGCAAGAGCTTGAGAGAACTGGTTGGTCACATTACACCTGCAGTCGCAAGAAAAGAGTGATAGGTGAATGGAGCTTGTGCTCAGCTCACTTTCTCTGCCCTTATACAATCCAGGGCCCCCTGTCTAGGGAGTGGTGCCACCACAGCAAGGAAGTCTTCCCATCTCAATCAACAGAATCAAAATAGTCTCCCACAAGTGGGCTTACAGGCCAACCTGATCTAAATAATCCCGTATTGAGACTTTCTTTCCAGGTAATTCTAGATTATGTCAAGTTGACAATTAAACTTAACTATCACAGTTACTCTCTGTTTTTAAAAGTATCCCTTTTTCGTACTGTGCTCTTTGGAAAGTAGTCAGTATATATGACCTATAGTTAAGGGGTAGGATTCATGTTCATTCTCCAGAAAGTGAAATATCTACACAAACTATCTGGAATTCTTCATAGATTAGTCTCTTCTGTTTCATTCATTAATTTAGTCAATCATTTCTATGTTACCATGGACTAGTGGATACTTATTCTACCCTTTGGGTTGTGCTGTAATACCACGTCATTGATTTTTTTTGTTTTGTTTTTAGATTAGCCTCTTTTGGCTTTGGTTGTGGAGTGCTCTTTCAGTTAGCCCCTATACCAGCAAAAGGGGAGTTTATTACACACTATGCCATGGTGCCACAGTCTGCTAAAACGTGGGTGGGGTGGGGATGCTGAAACCCAGAGGTCTGTTAAGGGAAGCTGGAGAATGGGGTATCAGAGGCTGGGTGGGCCCCAGCTCTGTGACACCATCTTTTGCTTTCATAAGCAGGAGGGAGGAATGGAGAACAGCATATTGGAACAAATCACAGTTTCACTCCCTCATTCATTCACCAGACAGTTGTGAAGGTGGGACATGATACAGTACCTGCCTGGCTCATCACACTTTAACACTGTTGGTTTCATTTAATTTTCACATCAACTGATTATGGTAATAGGGTTTTCATTTTATAGATGAGAAAATTGAGTTTGTTTGTTCTGGAAGTAGCCAGCTGCCATGCACAAAGTTCAGCTACACCGAGACTGCCATGCTGTGAGGCAACCCAAGCCAATTAGGTGGAGGTATCAGTCATCTTATATTCCAGGCGCCAGAAGTGTAAGTGATAAAACTTTCTGAAGAGTCTAGTCTCTGTGAACATCTAAGTGTAATTGCATAAAACCTGGAGCAGGTTCTCTCCATCAAGGCCCAGTCAACACCCAAAACAGTGAAACGTGATTATTATTTTCATCCATGAATCTTTGGAGGTAGTTTCCAGAAACATATAACTAGACTTCTAGAAAACAAATTCTGCACTGCATCCCTCTAGTAATGTCTACTGTTTTGACAAGAATCCTAGATTGAAGCAAAAAGCATGAGAGGTCATTACCTTCATCTATAGGAGATGCTCTGGGGGCCAGGCTTGAACTGGGTACTCATACATATGGGGGGGGGGTCAGAGCACCAGAACTGGGTGCCACCTTAAAGAGAACGTGCCTCAGAATAGAATAGCATTCACATTAAAGTACTGTAGAGAGAAAGATGGTGAGTTTCTTATTATATGGTATCAAGCCGACAATTGTTTTCTTATTTCCTGATTGTCTAATGTTGAACAAATTCCTTCACTCTGATTCACAACGTCTTTATCTTTAAGGCTGAGATGATCTGATGAGGATCATAGATATAATAAGATAATGGCAGCTGCTCTGTGTGTGTTCTGGACATATCTCTGTTATAACATCTGCTGCATGGCCCTGCATTTGAATTACTTATTTGTTACTCGGTCTCCCAAGTAGACTCTGAACTCTTCTAGGGAAGTGAACTTAGAGTATGCATTTTTTCATCCTTGCTGATTAGTATAGTACACAGAGTATATATTCAAATAGTTGTTGAGTGGGAAGAAGGTAGTGAAGAATCGATGAGTAAGCTTATGCGACAAGAGAATGGAAGAATAAAGTGCAGTTCAAAAGTAGCGTCTTTGATTAGGGATTTGGAAATAACATTATTTAAAAGGGTGGAAATCAAGGCAAAGAGAATTCAAAGAAAAATAGGGAGTCATTGACAATGATAAATGCAACAGTAGCTATATAAAGAAACCTGTCCAAGAAAACAACTTCAATGGAGTTCAGAAAATAGGCCCCAGATTATAGTTTCAAGGAAGGTGTGGATGGCAGAGAGCAGAGGCAGAGTTGGAGGTGACAGGGCTCAGTGGAGCTTCAGGTACCCAGACTCACAGAGTATCTAACTTATTTGTTGAAGAGGATATTGAGAGGAAGGTAGGGCATAATAGATTGCACGATACGTCACGAATTCATATGTCTATTAATCCAATCATAGAACATTTACGAATCTCCTAACACCAGGAGCTGCGCATGGCACAGGGAACACTGTGGTGAGTTAAACAAGGTCAGCCTTTCCCTTATCATGAACTATATTTTTAAAAGGGAAGACAGACACTGAACAAATTTTCAACCAAATGAATGTATACCGACTAACATATATCCTGTGAAGAGAAAATGCAGTCTGCTTGGTTTTCAACACGGTCTCTTCTGTCCTTAGTGGTGGCCTGCCTGAGTTTCAGCCATGAACATGGCCAAGCACCCATTGTCTTTCACAGCATCCCCATGTGACTACATTCCTGTCAATGGAATATGGAAAGATTATTTCTCATCACCTCTGTGATGTGTCCTTAAAAGATAAATATAAGTATTCCCTTGAGGCTTCCTCCCTTCCTACATGCTGGAAGATGTTAAGAAAGGAATCAGCAGTCTTGTATGTGACATGGGAGCCATGGATGAAGATGGCGCAAGTTGTCCTGCTGTCTTGGAAATGGCTTGTAATTTGGCAGAAAATGTGCTTCCATCTTACTTATGTCATTGTATCATTGGACCTCTGGTTCCTATTGCGTCTTAGCTCCTATCTTAACTGATACAGAATATGATGAAATAAGGTGTATTTGTTTGCTGATACACCATGAGGAATTAGCACCAACTGAATAGTTTAAGCAACACTGTTAGCAACAATGGTAACAATGGTTGGGTTGGTTGTGGTACGGCCTCTCTTCCTGAATGTGTTCTAACATGGCAGGGAAAGGTGGGGTGTGGGGAGAGAAATATCTTTCTGGCATCTCCTTTAAAGGGTTCTAGCCACATCAAGAAGACCTCACATCACTGCTTTTAACCCTAATTACCCCCCAAAGGCTCTGTCTCCAAACACTACCATTACATTGAGGGTTAATATTTCAACATAAGCTTTGGAGGGGGACAGTATTCAGTCCATAGCAGAAGCCAAGAGGAAGACCCAGTTTAAACAGAGTGGAGGGGCTGGTAAATCTCACATGAAGTGCCTTTGAAGCTGAATGCTGAAATATTTGAAGGGTCAGTGATCTAGGATGAAGAAACAGCATCTACAAAGCTGCCGAAGTAAGAGAGAAGTTGACATTTTGGAAGAGCAGGAGCAGTGAATAGTGAGTGTGAGAGAATTAGGGGAGAGAAAGTTGGACTGAGGTGAACCCAAGGGAAATAACAAGCTAAAGGAAAGTTTTAAGGAAAGGATAACACAGCCTCATTTGTTTGGGGAGGATTCCTCTGACTTCGTTGGAAGAGTTGGAGGAATGAGGAGTGGATAAGAGCGGTCACTTAGTCTCTGTTGAATGTGGAGCTGTAGATGAAAGATGGATTTAAATTAATTTTGGAGGCCCGGCTATCATGTATTTCTTTTATTTTTTGTAAGATTTATCTATTATTCTTTTTTTAAAAAATGTATTTGTTTGTATTTTATTTATTATTTTATTTTGTGTGTATGTATTGCCTGCATGTACGTGAGTGCACCCATGCTGCGGAGGTCAGAAGAGGGCTTTGGATTCCCCTGGAACTGGAGTTGCGGTCACTTAGTCTCTGTTGAATGTGGAGCTGTAGATGAAAGATGGATTTAAATTAATTTTGGAGGCCCGGCTATCATGTATTTCTTTTATTTTTTGTAAGATTTATCTATTATTCTTTTTTTAAAAAATGTATTTGTTTGTATTTTATTTATTATTTTACTTTATGTGTATGAGTGTATTGCCTGCATGTATGTGAGTGCACCCGTGCTGCAGGCCATGTGGGTGCTGGGAATCAAATCTGGTCCTCTGTAAGAGCAGTCAGTGCTCTTAAACACTGAGCCAACTCTCCAGTTCTGATATATCTATTATTCTTATTTCACATGTCTGAGTGTTTGCCTGCATGTATGTAGGGGCACCATGTGCATGCAATGACTGTCAAGTCTAGAAGAGGGCATTGTATACTGCAAATGCTATCAATTTCCTGATCACAGAGACACCCACTTTTTCAGAGACATTCTACTTTTTCTGAGGTTTCCTCTGGTCCTGGTATGAAGAATGTATTTACCCAAAAGTGAAACATTTTGTCCTTTTTTAGCATCTTGTTCTGTTTGTGGAAGAACTCTACTTTGATGTCACCACACACAGGCAACCACTGAGGGAACTCAAAGTACATGAACTTGTCTTCCCGTTGTGTGGGTCTTGAATTGGAGGACTATATCTTCACCTTTAGCTGGCAGAACACAAATTAAGGATTGGAAGTTCTGCCACTGAACATTGGAAGAGTTTCAAACATCATTTTGTGAAACAACAGTGCCTCTGGTCTATAATCCAGATGATTCTTTAACAGGTAGCTATAATAATACACATAGCGCCTCTGACTGGGAATAGTTACTCCCTTTATGTCTCTGGTCTTTACTTCCCCATAGAAATCTAGGGCCTCCCGTGCCTTCAAATATTTGCCCTGTTGTAATAGACATGTGCAAATCATTACACCGGTTCATCCCTTTCCAGCTTTACAGTGAATTGCTGCAACATGGTTGTCATCCTCACGTAGCCATTGATCAAGATCTTCACAAAAGGGTTTGATAAGTTCTAGCTATGGTGGGTTATGGTCTTCAAAAGGATATTGTGCAACTCTGCAGTTAAATTTGGCGGTATCATAATGTCTTTTAGCACATAGATTGTATATCTTGTAATGGTTTTTATGCTTTGAACCCCAAAACCTTACTACACCATTGATATTGTTCCTGTATACACCTTCAAGTCTTTCTGCAGGAAATCCATAGCAATAATGTTTAGCAATAAATATAGGTCAAGTCTAAGTCGAATCCATCCTCTTGATATCTCCTTTTGTTTCTGCTAACGATCTCTTTGATGATGGCTGTCATGTCTGGGAGCCTGTGGAGGTGCTGAGAGGGGGTCTGGGCCTTGGCCACCAGCCATCGTCTCTCATCTCCCTCGCCTGTGTAGGGCCTAACCTTGCAGTGGCTCAACTCTCAAACTTCTATCACAGCTGCAGCTTCTGAGAGGTGCATTTCTTATGTATAGAGGTGTGACAAGCAAGGACATTGCCTGCAGGATGATCCCCAAAATTTGAGAAGGAAGAGAAGGAGGCAGAACAGAATTGCAGAGGAAGTATTCAGTCCTCTTTGATATATTATGTTGGGGAGAGCAAGAACTCCAGCTGTTGCTTATCAGCTTTATGTCCATGGGACCATTATAATCCACAGGCAAGACAAATAAGATTTAGCGAGGAAAAATGGATTTAAAAATTTATTATTTTTAGTTTTTGTGTATGAGTGTATTGCCTGCATGTATGTTAGTGTACCTGTTTTGTGCAATGCCTGCAGAGGTCAGAAGAGAGCCTTAGATTCCCCTGAAACCGGAGTTATAGGAGGTTGTTAGCCAGCATGTGGGTGCTGGGAATTGAACCCAAATCCTCTGCAACAACAGCAAGTGCTCTTAACTGCCGAGCTATCTCTCCAGCTCAGAAAATAAGATTTTTGGATTAAGAAACAAACTTAGAATTTTGGGTTTGAAATTTAGGGAAGAGTAGAGACCATTGGCTGTGAAGACAAGATGCTGCCATGGTACGGCCTTACCAGATGCCTTTGAGAGTCATTCAATTAATTAGAACCTCAGCTTTCTCAGGTTTAAAAACTTTTATGACTTCGGGTATGATGTGAAACTGATAATTTTCTTACCATACCTATGAAGGTAGCTGGAGCAATAAGTGCTGAAAAAAAATGTGTGCTCTCTTCATGTCGTTCCGAGTTGTTTTCAATTGAAATGTATACTAGATGTATACTAGGCGTATCACTACACTATGTGTAGTGATCAGATAATGTAATCAATCAATTGTTCATATCTAAAAACCTAGAAGGAGGGGAGGCTGAGACGCAGAGCGAGGCTGCTTTGCCTGGACCCCTGTGCTCATGACCCTTGTTTCTCCTTGGTCTGAATGCATAGACTGGGAGGTAAGTCTACAGGGCTTGGACCCTGTGACTCACTGATCAGCATGTTCTAGTTCACAATTTTCCAGAAGGTAAAAGTAACCTGGAAAAGTTATTCTCAATCAATAGGAGGGAGCTCTGAATACAAGTCCAACAGCTGTCACCTCCTTGATTTCTCATTTATAGACATTACATCCATTTGTTCACTCCTACTGTGAAGAAGTGGTCTGAGCCTAAAGTTAGGACAGTACTTTCATAATAAAATGACTCAACCATCAACAAGGGTACCTCCCAAAGGTGAAATCTGGAAGATATTTGGATTAGTACTTAGCAAAATGCCTCAGGTATATTGTGGGTATTTAATGAGAATCCTTAGTCTTGAATATGATTTGAAATTCACCTGGTGACTTGAAAAGTCTGAAAGATGGTGAAAAAAAGATCTTTTTCACATCAGAGGGTATTGGATTATACAGAATGGGCTCCTTCTATGGCATTGTTCTTCCTCTTAGCATCATTGAGAAGTAAGGGCTGGCTTTGAGGTTGCTAGGCATTTGTTTGTATCTTTCTGAGAGCTTTGAACAACTGTAGACAGGGGGAGCAGTTTGGACCTAACTCAGGTGGAACAGGGGGACTTGCCTACTTAGGGCGGTAAACAAAGATTTGTTTGGTATAGAATTACATTTTTATCAGGCTATCGCAAAGAGTTCCTTCAGCTTCTCCACCGTCGTTGTTCTTGTCCACACTGCTGCTGATAGGGGGAGGTGGACTTTCCACTACATCAAATGCTATTCTATATTTCCTTCCTGTGCTGGGTTTTAGACATGCTTCAACAGAAAGTTTGGCATCCTATCATCACATCTATGCATTGTTATTTGAGGGCATAGGTATAAGGAGAGATACAAATAGGAAAACCATTTGTTATTTTATTTTATATTTTGTTGTTTTTATTTATTTTAATTTAATAACCACATGATTAGAAGAATCATTTCATTACAGCTTTAACATATTCAGTAAAACACTCCAGAGCAAGGATACATCTCTTTCAAAAGAGGCTGTAAATTTATAGGTTCACGGTAGAATTAATGCAGTTATACAATATCGAAGTCACTATAAACCCTGTAATATATAAAATTGACTGAGTTTTTCCCTTTAAAGAGGATCTCCACTTCATTTTAAAATATGCTGTTTCCTACATTTTTTTATCTGATTATTACTAGTCACAGTTGGTTACACTCTGATCCTTAGTACCTGAGTATGGATATAAAGTCACCAGGTAGATTTCAGTGGTAATGTTTATCTCCTCTACTATTTAACATGAAGTAAATTTTTATGCTTCATCCTCAAGTATGCCATTTTTTATTTATTGATTTTTTTTGTGTATATCATACAGAACATCCCAATCTTATTCATCTATATACCCACTTCCCAAATGGCACCTTCCCATAGCCCCCCCCCCCACTGGAGCCCATATACTCTGTCCTCCCTATTACTGTCCACTGTGTGTCACCCCCAGCCATTCCCCAGTGCTTGTCCATCTGCTGAATCTAGTCAGCCTATCTAGAAATTCTTGTTTTAGGAAGATCAGCTGTGTCTCATCTTGTAGCAATCAGTTGTCAATAGTCCTTTAGATAAGATTGGGGTCTGCTGTTCGTTTTCCCAGTTCTTTGCTGGGTTACAGTATGGAAGTCTTTTGGGCCACCCTGGCCAATAACTCAAAGAAGTATCTCCTGTCTGGCATTGTTTCTTGTTATGTAGCTTTTAGCTATATGTATGGACTCAAAAATTATATTGACTCCTTTAATCTTTGATTATACTTTCCTTTTGGGTGTTTAAGACCCTACAATTGCCCCAGATAAACCAATTTATTTTTACTTTTAAGGTTGTTTGAGGATCTGTTCCTCAGTGGCACATGGGCTTGGGAGGATCCCCTGGCTCCTTTCTTTTACCACTTCTGTCTATATGAAGATAAGTCGAAGGTCCTGCTCGACCATGATTGGCTTTGCTTGGAAACATGGAGGAAATTTTTTCTCTGTGTTGACCCTCCTTTTTGTAGACACTGGTTCACATCCATCTGGTAGGGTCTCCACAGCATCCTTGGTCAAGAGGACAGGTGACTCACCATAGTTTCAGGATATTTTGAGAGATGCTCATAGTCCCCTGGAATTTAGTCGACCTAAACGGGCAAGGAGCAAAGACTGTCCTTTATGTCCCTCTGACCAAATTAGTATAGGCCTCAAAGTATGGCTGTTAAACATTCAAGAAGGTTATTTTCACCAGTTGGGTACTTTTAATTACCATGTGCCATGTAGATAAAGCTTGGGCAGAGACCAAACATTCTCAGATAAACCTTGCCTAGACACATATTATATTCTTTGATCTAGTTGTATGTATTTTATTTTATATTAAAAAAAAGAGTTGAGGGGTTGGAAAGATGACTCAGTGGTTAAGAGCACTGGCTGCTCTTGCAGAGGACCTGGATTCAGTTCTCAGCACTCACATAATGGCTGACAACCATTTGTAACTCCAGTTCCAGGGGAATCTAACACCCTTTCTGGCCCCTGTAAGCATTGCATGACACTTACATACATGTAGGCAAAACAGTCATATACATAAAAAATAAAAATAAATAAATGAAAGAACTCACAAGAGTTGCTGAACAAATGGTTAGAAATGAGAACAAAATTAAATTGTATCAAAGAGAAAAATCTATTCTTTTATCCTTTGGACTTATCTTTTTTTTGTACAAGTAGATCATATATAGATTGAAATGAGAGTTGGAATGTATCCAGTTGTGTAGTGGGTAATTACAAAATTGCTTGGTTTAATTATGTGGTATTTTATAGAAGGGCATTTTTAACCTTTGCCACTAGTGCCAAATGGAAGGAGGCATAGCCCTTCATAATAAGCATCATAATTATAATTGCATCTAAAGTTTATTTAGAAGCAGTTCATTGCTAAAGACATACTATAATTTGTGTTCTTTTTTTTTAGTAGGTAAAAATTGCTGAGGTAAATGTGTTTGTGGTAACAAAAGTAAAATGGGAGGAAGTGCTTGTTAATAATCTGTTCCACTATTCCAGTTCCCTAAGTCCAACTCTGGCTAATGTTTCTAAAACATCAGCCGGGCCTTATATAATCAAATAGCTCATTAGAGAAGATGAGAGGATTTCAAAGTGCTTTAAAGATCAGAACTAATGTCCTGTATTAAAAAGGAAGATCAAAGTGGACCCACGTTGAGGAGATCCTTTGTAGATACTATTCTTCTGAATTATTATTATAAGTGACTTTCATTGACATTTGCTGTAAGTTCATGCCGCACTAATGATAGATTAAACACTTGAACCACCATATTTATTCATCCAACTGATTCTTGAATGACTTACATGCAAGGCAGTGTGAAATCCAGTACTGCCTGCAGTTTCTTTGTCATTATTTTAGTCTTTGAAATGCCACTAAAGTAGCACTTTCTAAACCAAAGTGATGAGCTAGGGATATAGCTCATTGGTAGGGTGCTCATCTAGTGTGCAAGAGGCCCTTGTTCAATCACCAGCAACACACACACACACACACACACACACACACACACACCCCAAGAAGGCATGATATCATGTATGTTATGTCTTGGGTCAGAATCAAGTCAAATAGTGAAGTAGAAAATATATAAAAGTTTTAAAGGTTTTAAAATGTGAATTTAGCTGAATTCCAACATTTATTGAGCACCTCACACATAAGATACAGGGCTATACAGTGTTAACTGTATAAAGAATAATAAATACTGACTTTGTCTTTGAGAAAGTTTTGGCTTAAAGGAGGAGAGAATATACACAACATGCCTACTATGCCATAAGAAGCAGGCGAGGGGCGAGGTGCTCCATAAGCGTGCCCCTTAGGGCATCGCAAAGACTTCACGTGGGGATGGATGTGATGGGTTGGTGTCAAAGCTGG